ATAAATAATTTGAATAATATGCTTATTTTCTGTAATTCCCTTAATCTAAATTTTATATAAATTTCCTAGAATTTTAAAATATTAAATTCTATTTAAACACTTGTAATTATTTGTTACTTATTGCTCAATCACATTAAAACTTTGTTATCTAAAAGATGATAAGATATTAAAAAAAAGTGTAAAAAGGGAATCACCTTAAATCTGAAAATTTTTTTTATCAAACTCCTACCTAATTCTTAAAATTTTATTAAGAAAATACCTATTACCAACTAATTTCTTGTTAAATTTGTATGTGATTTTTTGGTAATTAACTTTTACAAATGACAATGCCTAAATAACCCCTTACTACTTCAGAAACCCTATTTTTGGTCATCCCTTTCAAGTGGTCATGTAATTAATAATGTCGAATTTAAACCTCAAAGCAATATTTTGACACTTATTACTGTCTTAAGTAACTAACTCGTTTAGAACCCCTATTTAGGGTTCTTCAAGCTAAACACACCCTCTTTATAAGTGTTAAGCTGTTAGCAAAGGCTTGTCTTACAATACTTTTATTGTTAAGTAAGAAACCCTATTCCTTTCTTAAACAGGCCACCCTATTTAACACCCTTTTAAGGTTTACAATATGCTACTAAGACAAATTAATTGTTTACAAACTTCCTTATGGCGAATTTGTTATTGTTGTTATAAAATAACATACTTGAGGTTTTTCAAGGGTAACCCTATTTGTCAAGAAACCCTAATTATTTGTTAATAACATAAGCATAAATTCTTAATGATTGGGTTATGCGGTTGGTTTTTGAAAAAGTATTTTAACAAAAGAATTCTGACTTTTGTATTAATTTCACACAGGAAACCGCTTCTGGGAAGCAGTAGAGTAATGGAATCAAATTTAAAATGTTAGCGCAAAAAATTACAGTTATAATTAAATGCATAAATTGCACAAAAGACCTGCTTACAAGTTAAATAGAAAGAGAGCTTAGCGCTCTAGCTTTGGTATATTAATTTTAGTGCTTATTCTGTCGCTTACAGGGCACATGAATTGTATGTGGCTTGTTTTCACTTGTAAACAATGGCCGAATTACCGTATACGTGATCGAATAAGCTATCGTACCGAAAATACATTTCGGTACGTATCAGAACATTTGTTTAAATATAAGTTCTATAGGTATATTTTTGCCTTTTCAATAATTATTACAAAATTTCATAATTTTTGAAATAAATTTCAAATAAAACTTTTTAAATTAACTAATGACTAATAAATTTGCAATTAAATTATTAATAATCTATAGAATTAAAGAATAAATATTCACATACATATGTGTACTTAAGTTTTAAAGTCCACTTGACCAAAACGTAAAAACAACTTTAATATAAAAATATCACCCAATTTACACTACAAGGAAATGTGTCATAATTTCTTTTTAAAATTAAATCTTATTAGTTAAAAAAATTGATTGCGCCATAACACACCCCCTTTCTAGCAACAAATTTTCAACCGAATTTTTGATAAAAATCAAATTTATTAAATATTATTTTTTTCACCAAATGATAAGATTTCGTTTATAAATTATTAAAGTATTTACTTTATATAGCAAATTATTTGGTTGGATGGGCTGTTTAGCGGAATTTTTTGGGATTTCAAGAATTATAAGAAAATTTAAATTATGAGTAAAAGAAAAAAAGCCCCAACTGGCCAACAATATGAAAGGAAATATTTTATTTGGCCAATAAATTGATAAGAAATTTCTTAAGAATTGAAAATTAATAAAATGAGTATGCAAACTTAAACACATGTCAAAATATTTAAAATTATTGAAATCACATCTTTCCACTTGTCATATGTTAAGTTTTTTTAAGTTAATGGTTGTTTTTTGTTTTTATTTATTTCATTGATAAGAATTATTGATTAATTTGTTTGATTGTTTAACACAATTTTTATTTTAGTTTTTAACTTTTATAGTTTTTTTTTTTTACTTTTTTTATATCTTGAGTGTTTTTTCGTTTTCTTTAAATGTAAAGTAAATGATTTTATTTGTTAATAACCTTTTAAAGATATGGTAATAATTGTTTTTTTACATTGTTTTATTTATTTTTATAAATATATTTTTGTTTATCAATTAATCGAAATCTAAAATTGTAATGTAGGTCATTTGATTAAATTTTGAATTACTTGAAATAATGGATGATGAAATAATTTTGATTATAAAAAATTTCAATGACGTGTTGGTTTGTTTTATTTGTTTCAGAATTGCTAAAATTTTTATATTTAAGCTTGTCGAATTTTTCAAAATTGTTTCAAACTTGAGAAAATGCTGGCCGAACCTATTCAATAATCTACATTCTTTAAAATTTAAGACTGGGATAATTGTAAATATCCCGAACTGCTTCAAGCTTCTCAAACTGTATGTTTCAAAAACTTAGTTTAGAAAATATCTCTTTCTCTTAGAATAGTTGTCGTTAAAGAATCAGAAAAGATCTGTAAACATAGAGCGCTCTGAAAAAGGTAAGCTGCTTATAAAACTAATTCCTAGTTTTGATCTGCCATTACGTAATGGGAGCAACCAACTAAACAGGTGTTATTTCTAGTCTAGTGGGAAAGTCGTGTGTTCGATTCGCGCCATTCGATTCTGGTGAAGGGACGCACATTAAGGTCCAATAATGATCTAGGTGTATTCTTCCTGATCTGTTGTATTTTTTCGTATCTTAGTCATTATACTTACTCCTATTAAACTAACGAGTGCATCTTCAAACTTTATCCATCTGCTAGATTTATTTTAATTTTAGAAAATTACTTATATAAATTATTAACCAATTGCCGTCGGCGTACTTTAATTTGTAACACTTCAAATTGTAGAGAAAATTTATTTTTCAAAAATCTTCCAAAAAATTATTTAAAAACCTAAATTATGGAATAGAATGTCAAATTAAGTAACTAAAACTACCCCCAAACTATAAATGGCAGCACAGCACGGGTTAGACACACTTTTAAAACGCGCATTAACACCTACATACAGACGATAGTAAATGCCCTGTAATTCTAAAGGAGTAACAATTGTGGACCTTTTCTATTTCGCAATTAATCGTATGATCAAGTTTTTAGCTAGTTTCTAATTTAAAGGTAGGTTCACTCCTTAAGACACTTATATAACGAAGTGTTGATTCTCAACAACAACAACATAATAAAAGAAGACAATAATTGTACTTCATTATAATCCATTTCAAATTTGAACAAAATGATAAATTTAAAATTACAATAGAATTCACTAGTATTTTCTACAGTTAACAGTTTCTGATGTTAAAGAAGCTCCCGCTAATAAGTTGATACATACCAATGTAGTTTTTTACCAAACATTTGCTAACTAGTTACTGGTATCAAGAGCTGCAGGGTACACCCCATACAAATATATTTCTGTGAAGAACACATTTAGTTATGTATAAAATATAGAAAGGGTCATATTTTCAAAATAATCACACATGCTGTTCTTTTTTGTTAAAATATTTTAAACTTTTGTTGTTGTTGTTGTAGCCATTTGAAAATTTATAGATATTAGTTAAATGACCTTTCCATATAAAATGCAACAATAAACAATTAATAGTTTTGATTTCTCTTATACCACTATAATGTTAATGTTATATTTCGTATGTATGTGTATATCCATTCAGATCAGATTACTTTAAAATTTGTGAATAAAGAAAGGCAAATTTTTGCGTTTTAGAATTTCGAAAAAAAATTTAGTTTTTCCAAACAATAAATAAAACCAGGGGGAGTCTGGTTAAGCAACAACGAACTGTAACATGATTAATAATTGGCCAAACCACCACCCTCTCTCTCTGTGTCGTATGTATATCTTTTGGCAGTTGTAAGGAAAAATCTTAAATTTCCCTTTAAGCTCTTAATTTGCTACAAAATAAATATATTTGGATAAAGAAAATTTTGTACGTTTTTTGTATTTAAATGTATCATTTGAGTAAGAGCATGCTTTTTATTTTTTCCCTTTTGTTGTTTTGTTTCGTTTAATATGTTGAGAATAACAAGAACAAAACAAAATTGTAATTATATCTAAAACACGCAGTTTTTCTTAGGGAAAGTAAATAAAATATCCTGTTTTATTTTTTTTGCTAGAAACTTTGTTGTCTATTTTATTATTTCTTAGGTTAAACCTTAATTCAGCTTTAAAAAAGCAAACTTTTAACTATAGAATGACTAATTTCCATTTAACTTTTAAACAATGTCTGCCGCATTATCCTTAATATCCTTGAAACTTTGAATATGTAGTTTTTATGACTGCAACACAAAATGCATAAACATAAAAATTATAAGTGCTGTTGTATTGTGGCTGTGCGGCTTGAGCTCATAAATTAACACTAGACTCTATAAAAATGTAGACAACAAAATCCCAAAGAATCCTTGCTCATACCCTGTTACCCCAAACTATTTATACGTTTGATAACCAAAAAATAAATTGGAAAAAATTCAAATTACTATGAAGCACGTACCAATCTGCTACCACCAGCATTTTGTTGGAGTTTGAATGTGTGGAGTGCTTCTCTCTGTTGTTTTTGTTCATTCAAGGATGACCAGGTGGTCAATACTATGTATTTTATTTATTTTCCTGTTGAAAATTTTTACTCCATATGTTTGTCTCTCACATTTTGAGTGCTGTTGAAAATTTTATAACCCAAAAACAAAGTATAGAATTTTATGTTTCAAAAATGCATATGGTCAGATTCTGGGGGTAAATGGGTAAGCAATAATATGAAGAAATGAATATTTTAATAACTTGTTTGCATGTTGTTTAAAATAATGGTAATAAAGATACTCGAAGAAACTTTATTTAAAAAAAACATTCAAACATGAAATGAATCATTTTTGGAAAATAGAATTACAGAAAAAAGTTTGAAATGCTCAAAATGGTATTATGTCTTTTATTGCTGAGATGTTTCTTTGTTTGTATATTTTTCTAATAATTTTTTGTTTAATTTTTTTCTATTTTTAGATATCAGCCGTTTATCCCGATCTCCATCACCCATGCAATCAAATGGTAAGTACATAAATATTTTATTAGAATTGTAATACTAGAGTGAGTGGTATGTACATATATTCTGCGACTAGGGACATAACAGAACTTGTAGTATTCTTTAGGTCTTAGTTTAGATATCAATATATATTTGTGATTCTTATGAAATTTAAATCGAATTGTTGGTATAGTACAAAATTACTATAAGTGACTTCTCTGTAGTTTACTTTGGCTCATTAAAGTGATGACCGATTTATCGCTAAATTATTTGGACGTCTCGACGACATCTCTGATCTACAAAGAGACCCTTTGATATATGGGGAAGGTATATTGGGTTTGAGCTGATGTTTGTAACGTACTATAATATTGGTGATATACCCACGTTAAAGTATACCAACCGACTGTCCTCGGTCCATGTAAACCTTGTAATCAATTTTGAATATAATTCAATGAAATTTGATACATGATCTTCTAGTGTACCAGAGACGAAGCCTATTGAAAATGGTTAACATCGGTCCATGATGTCACCTAGCCCCCATACAACAGAACCCGCCGAATAGATCTTTTAAGTTCATAATTATGTTTAATATACTCGTATCTCGATAAGGCTATACTAACCTTGATGACCCTCATGAATTTTATAATTATAGGGTTTCATATACAAAGTCCCCTTCAAAATATGACTTAAATGTCCACAATTTTATTCAACAATAAATGGCTTAAGTATATTTGTGGCAAGGTACAATACCACTTAAATGCCTTATTATGAAAACTTAATCACATTTTATTTTTATAAATTGTGTAGGGTATTAAATGGCCGACTATAATTTCTTACTTGTTAAGTATAAACATGATCATTCAGAGTTTGTTTTTCAAGATATTGGTGAAAGCTTTACATTATTCGAGATGCGATTAAAAGTTGTAAAAAGTTCCTCAGATCCTACAAGATCTCCAACTTTTGAATAGATTTTATATAATCAAGTTTTAGTTAATTTATATTCAATATAAATTCCTTTAGTTTACAAAAAAAATTTCTTCCAATTATAAGGTTTCAACACCAGCTGTTAGAGATTTTCTCAATTACAAATTCTATTTCCCCTAAAAACCACGAATCCTTTCATTTCTCTTTCTTTACAAAAATTTCTAAATGCATAAATTGTTTTAAAACTAGACAATATTTTAAAACATTTCGATTTTATAACAAACTATAGCCGTTGACGTGTGATAAATTTACGATTTGTTGTCCTCGTCCACGCACCAGTACTACTAAACAACTCCACCACTACTTAATATATGAAATGAGAAAAAACATAAAACATCTGCTGCCTTGATTTCTAACCGAAATGAATCAATTTGATTTGGAGTTTGTATAGTTTTTTTTTTTTGTATAATAGAGACACATTACAACAAAACAATTGACATCGAACATTTATAGTTTTTAATAGAGTTTAAATACAACCCTTCCTGTTGTGGCATTTACCAAAAAAGGTTAGAAGTGTGCCAACCAGGAGTTTGCTTTTTTGAATATGTATCATGTTTAAGATGTTTTCAGGAGAAGACCTTTTTTCCTTATTGTCTTTTACAGTAATTTTTTTCCACGGGTTTATGGATTTTTAATGGGAGGTTTTGTTTTTCTTAAAGAAAGTGATATATTTGGTATTAATTTAAAAGATTTTTTATATCAAATCACTAGAGAACAATAAAATGTGTCAAAACTTTTTTTTTTGGGTAAAGAAGAAAAATATGTAAGAAGTTTTTGTTTATTAAAGTAGAATTTGATTGAAATTTAATTTATTAAAACTATTTTGTTAAATAGTTGTTTAAAGCAAACAAAGTAGTTTTTAGAAGAAATTTAAATAACAAAAATAATTTTTGAGAATTCCCAAAAAGTTGAATAAAAAAACCAAAATATTTTCCAAAAAATAACAATTAATTTAAAGAATATAAACACAAAACTTTAATTTTTAAACTCCATTTTCAAACAGCACCTTAAAAAAGTATTGAAATTATTTAGAGCTATTTTGCACTTTGAATATTTTCCTTCTTCTTACTGCTTGACCATGTTTTCCATTCACATTGAGCAGATTTATAACATTTTATCTTTCTTTAATAACCTTGTTAGTATTCATAAGATACTTTACACCTTTTTTGTTGCTTTTCATCTTATAGTTGTTGTTATCATTATTATTGTTGTTTTTGTTATATTATAGCCAGTCTATTTAATATTCTATCTATAAATTTTTTTTTTGGTTGCCATTTGATTTTGTCTATATTTGTTTTTCATTCAATTCATTTTTGATTTTTCTTCTTTTTTTTTTTTGCTTCTCAATGTTCGATTATTTTTGTTATAAATTTGTCTGTGATTTTATGGTTTGTTATACGAGTATTTTTTGTACATTTTTTCCTTTTTTGTTGGATTGGGCAAGAGCCTTAAATTTACATATATTTTATGCAAAAATTATACCATATATACAAAAGTTTTTGGCCTTCATCTTTTAAGGTCTACTGCTTAGATTTTTGATACTTTTTTTCCCTTTTTGTAAACGTATATTTATACCCTACACCACTTTAACGGCGAGGGTATATTGGGTTTGTGCTAATGTTTGTAAAGTACAATAATATTGTTCCTATATCAACCTTAAAGTATACCATTCGGCTTAGCATCATTTTCTGAAACGATTTAGCTATGTCTTTCCGTCTGTCTTTCTGTCTGTCTGTCCATATAAACCTTGTAATCAAACTAGACTTTGAAGATAATTCAATGAAATTTGGTACATGATCTTCCAGAGACGAAGTCTATTGAAAATGGTTAAGATCGGTCTATTATTTCGCCTAGTCCCCATACAACTAAACCCCCGGAATGGGGCTCTTAAGCTCATAATTATGTTTAATATACTCGTATCTCGACAAAAAGCTGCAAAACCAAGTTCTATATTAGCCTTAATGCCCCTGATGAATTTTATAATGATATGGTCTCATTTGACCCTAGCCCCTATACAAAACTCCCTTCAAAACATGACTTAAATATCCACAATTTTATTCAACAATAAATGGCTTAAGTATATCTGAGGCAAGGTATAACTCAACTTAAATGCTTTATAATGAAAACTTTAGTTGTTTATTATTATAACTGGTGTAGGGTATTATATGGTCGTCCTCGTCCGACTATAATTTCTTACTTGTTTTTTGGTTATTCTTGTTCGATTTGGTTTTACAACACATGAGTTAAATGTAAAATTTATTCAACAAACAACTGATGCTCTCCTTGTGTTTTGTAGCAATTTTTATGATGTCCAATGATGTTGATTACTATAGAATCTAGGCAGGGGAGTAGATAAGGGAATAAGTAAAGAGCGCTGTGGTAGTAACAAAAGGCAGGGGTGTGTTGCATATAATGTTAAATATGAATTTTTTTGTTGCTTTTGAATATGTACATGTTGAAACTGTGGACAAAGAGTTGTTGCTTCGAAGTTTACAGACACAATTTCATTAAGAACAGAATTCCTTTAGAAATAAACGTTTGACTACTTTCTTGATTACTTAGAGACATTTAAGTAGCGTTTTAATTCAACTAAGATTGCTCTGGGACTCTAGAACGTCTATTGAATTCCTTTCTGCATTAATAAAAAAAACGAAAAATTTAAACTAATGTAAAACGTAGAGAGTTTTCTAAAATTCTTTTGCAACGCTCCTGACAGCAGTATAGCTAGTCACATTCAATACTTATTGACCATCATCTGTATATGCATTTTATGTCAAAATTGTTGTTGTTTTATAGATGTATATTTTCTGCTCATATTCCTTTAAAGTTAAAAGAAAAAAAAAGCAGCAGCATCACAAATAAATTTGCACATCATCTGAATAACAAATATTGCACGTACCACACGTATGATTTTTATTTGTAGCAGCAACAAAAACACACACACACACATACACTTACAAAAAATATGTATAACCCTGCTTAGAAGTAGAAGAAGTCATCAAAATTGATGTTTTTATGGTAAAACTAAGCAAAAACGTTATTCCTAGAGCAACATATGCAAAAATATATTGAAAATAAGCAATGATGCATACAATTATGAAGCAGCAAAATAGCACAAAATAAAAGAAGGAGGAAAAGCAAAGGGAAAAAAGGTTTAAAACTGTTAATTTAAAATGTGGTTAAAAGGAAAGAGAGAGTAAGTAGCCAGGCAGTGACCTGACCGACCAACCGTCTAAAAACCAACAGAGTCAGTAAATAAACATGAATATGAAATTTTTATAACATTTTTCCACACATTTAAATGTGTGAATAAATTTGTTTTTTTTTTTTACAAAAGGGTTGCTTCGTTCTAGTATTATGAAGTATTTTTTTTTAAATAAAAATATTTCAAATGACTGTATTAAAAATAAACGAGGGTGGAATTTAAAAATATTTGCAAAATAAAACTGAATCAATTGTATGTTAAATTTATTCCTACAAAATGTAGGAAAAATCCTACAAGTGAAATTACTAATCGAAGCGTAAGGAAAAGAAAAACTAAAATTTGCAATTCTAAAATGTAAGGAAAATGAAAAGAAAACATGGAAATGCCATTTAATCAAACAGTAGAAAAGTGGACAAAAAGGGTGTAAATATTTTTGTTAAAGAAGAGTTACCAAACCATGAAATTGACCGAAATGTTTTTTTTTTACTATTTTTTATTTAAAAATAAAATAAAAATATTATGCAAACGGGTTTTTGTTACCTTTTTGAACAGGACACACAGGGGGAAGGGGAAAAGAAGGAAATTAATGGAAAATTAACATACTTTTGAAGAGAAATGAAAAGAAAACACACGTGTCTTTTAAATGCAAAATAAATGTTTAACAAATTTAAATAGAAGAAAAAAATTTTAATATAACAATTTAAATACCAATATATTTAATACTTAATTTTCTTTTTATTTTGTTTCCGTAGCTTCCGATTGTGATGACAATAATTCCAGTGTTGGCAATTCCAGTGATCGCTGTCGCTCTCCCGAAAGTCCTGCCATGGGTCTAACACATCCTCCTTTGAAAAGAAGACAATTAGCAGCTTTACATAGCAATCCCTTGCATTCTTTGCATCAGCACTATCCACACGCCTCACCACCACCCTCCACGCCACAAGCTGCCCATTCGCCCAAACTAATGAAACATCACAAATCAATAGCGGACGAAGAGCAGGAGGAGGAAGAAGGCGCTTTAAATTTAACTAGTGAAAATTCCCGTCACTCCTCACAATCTCCCTCATTATCGGTGAAATCGGTTAAACCCAGCTCGAGCTCACCCTCAAGTCAGCAACAGCAAACGTTACATCAATTGCCACAACAGTCCGCAACATTACCTGTACCCTCTTTAAGCAACAGTCCCCTGCCAGTATTAGCTCCTGTTTTAGCTTCACCACAAGCCCAGCTGGCCGCAGCAGCTGGTTTAGGTTTGGGTAATCCCTTAATGGCTCAAGCAGCTTTGGGTACTCCCTTGTCATCACACGACTTTTCACAATTCCAACAGGCTTTGCAGCAGCAGCAACATTCTCTGCAACAACAATTTCAAAATTATTTAGACATTTTACGCAGCGGTTCCTTAAACTTGGGTCCCTCAGATGATCCAACTGTAGCAGCACAAATGGCTACTGCGCAATTCCTACTACAAAGACAAGCTTTGTCCCAAGCCGCCCAACAGTTGCAAGCTTTACAAAAACAACAGGAACTACAACAAGATCGCAGCGAAGCATCAGTCTCTACATCCCATGAACCTCTACAATTGAAAAATCATCATCAGCATCATCACACTTCAACACCCACTCACCACCGCAGTCCTCTGCACAGTCCAGCCACTTCACCCCTGCCCTCTATCTATGCCTCCAGTCATATGTCACACAATTCTCATCAGACACCACCTCCCTCCAATAGTTCGGGTTCCATTAAGGTGAGCGGCCTATTAACACCTAATACACCCAGTGCTGGTGGTGGACCACAAACTCCTCAAATGCCCAAGAATTTAGCTAATGCTCCTAGAGCACCAGAACCCTCCCCCGAAGAAACAACCGATTTAGAGGAATTGGAACAATTTGCCAAAACCTTTAAGCAGAGACGCATTAAGTTGGGTTTTACACAAGGCGATGTGGGTCTGGCCATGGGTAAATTGTATGGCAATGATTTTTCACAAACCACCATATCACGTTTTGAAGCTTTGAATCTAAGCTTTAAGAATATGTGCAAGTTGAAGCCGTTACTGCAGAAATGGTTGGATGATGCGGATCGTACAATACAAGCCACGGGAGGGTAAGTAAATTTATCTTATTCCAACTCTTTATATTATTTCAAAAACATAAATTTTTTTAGTTTGATTTTTAAACAAAATTTTAATTGTTAATTTATATTTTTCTAAATTTTAGTATCTTTGATCCCGCCGCCCTGCAGACCACCGTTACCACACCCGAAATCATGGGTAGACGTCGCAAGAAGAGAACCTCCATTGAAACTTCTATAAGAGGAGCTCTGGAGAAATCGTTTATGTTAAATCAAAAACCTACTAGTGAAGAAATCAGCCAATTGGCCGATCGTTTATGCATGGAAAAAGAAGTTGTGAGAGTATGGTTCTGTAACCGTCGTCAAAAAGAGAAACGCATTAATCCCTCTCTAGATAGTCCCGATAATGGTGATGAATCACCCTATATGATGATGTAAAAGCCAAACAAAACAATAACGGGCAAAGAGGCAATCGAATTTTAAATTTTTTTTGTATATAAAAATCGTTTTAAGCAACAAATGACAAAAACAGGAAAGAAATATAATTTTTTTGAAATAATTTAAGCGGTATTTAAAGGAAAGAATTAGAAGAAAGAAAAGGTAAGTTTAATAGTTGATTAACAATATTTTTACAAAGAATTTTGCGTTGAAATACTAATTTATTTTTTACTAATTAAGATTTTATTTATTTCTTTTTCTTTGCAGATTTTTTTAAAATTTTAAAATCTTTGAAGGAAGTTTTAAATGTGAACATTATTTTATAATAATACTTGAAATTTTTAATTAAATGTCTTAGAAATTTTAGTTAAAAAACACATAAACACACACATTTGAGTATTAAAATCGAATTGTAATGTAAGTAAAAAATTAAATTAATTTCAAATAGTTTAATGAAATACAAAAACAAAACAAAACTACTTAATTGTTTTATGGTTCAGCAATTTTAATATCATTATAACTACAAAAATACATTTAAAAAAAAAAAAAAATTAAAATGAATTTAATTATTTAAAGAATTTATTTAAGTAATATATCTTTTACTTTTAAAAATATCCTCGTAAATTTTTTTAAAAAAGTAAAATAGTCATTTAATTTTTTTAATTTAAAGGAAAATTTTGAAAATTTATTGTTTGGGAGAGAAAATGTTTTTAAATTTTTAAAATTACAAACATATGTGAAAAAATTAAAACAAATAATTCTGAAATTTAATTCACCATTTTTTGTGTAGATCACTTTATCTGGGTTTTAAATGAAAATGGGTTTAAGTGTTTTACGAGATAATTGGATCAGTTTGTTTGATCACTTTTTGAGTATTTCCAGATTGAAAACATTGTTGAACATTCCATTTTTAAATGTAAATTTCCTTCAAATTTTATCAATACAACATACAGGTCTGTCACACATTCCGATCGAAATGGTTTCAATTCCGTATTATTATTCCGATCATTTTTGTTTTAGCTTCTCCAAATTCCGAATTATTTCGTAAATTGACAAAAAATGAATAAAATTATATAGATTTCATTTAAAATTGTTCTTGTTTAGCTAATCAAAACAAGAACCATGTTTTTAGTAAAGGTTCTTATTATTAAAACTAAGAAAAGCGTTAATTACATACAAATATCAATTCCACTTCAAAAACTGAAAGTGGTTTCATTCCGAAAGAATTTTTCGTTTTCTTTTTTAGAAGAAGCAAAAATACGGAAATAATTCCACTTGCGATCGGAATGAAATTCTGTGACAGGCCTGATAATGATAAAATTTCTATAGAAATTTTTAACATTTAAAATTACAAATATCTACATTTTTATAAAAATTTACTACGTCTTTAGTCTAAATGAAAACCTAAAAAGTTATCGGTTAAAGATAAGAAGAAAAGTAAATTTTTTAAAAACGTGCTGAAAATGTACCAAAAAATGGGGTACTTTTCGATACCTTTTTAACGATGTATTAATAAAGAGATTTGATTCAAAGCATAATTTAGAAATATTTAAAAATTTGCGACAAACTTTAGTTTTCAAAAATATGGATTACATTGCCTTCTAATATTATCTTCCTATATCTAAATATATATTTTTAGATAATATTACTACAGAAATGTTAATTCATACAGATTTGAAAATTTCCCAATATAAGTTAAAATAACTTTAACTAAAATTTTAATTCCAAAAAAAAAAAATTAATGTGAATTATTTTTACATTTAATTAAACTCAAATATTTTGAATAATAATATTTGAATTCACATATAATATTAAAATTTTTATATAATTTTATATACTTTCCTCTCAAATTAAATTTTACGAATATTTTATCGATTTTTCTTCAAATATGAATTTTATAATATTTTTCATTTCTCATTCAACAATTGTAAAACAAAATCTTATTTTTGTTAGTCTCTCACTTAAAGAATTGAAATTTTACTAAAATCATTTTATTCCTCTTTTTTTAAAATAAATGTTTGTAAGTGTAAACTGTATGTAAATGTAAAACGTGTGTATAATATAAAATCGTAGTAAATTTTCTAATAATTAATATTTTTAATATTTATTTCAATAAATATTTACTGTGATAATAATTTTTAATGTTTGTAATGTTTTTTAGCTGTAAGTTTCCCCTAAAAAAAGAAATGTATGTTTAAAAAAGTAATATGAATTAAAACCAACTAATCTTAATTTTAAATGTAATTTATGGTAAAAAACACACACAAATAAAAAAACTACTATTTCAAAAATAATTAATAAAATTGTCATATAAAAAATATCAAAAAGAAAAAACAGAAAAGTTTTCATTTAAATAAAAGGCAACAAAAAGGTAAGTATTCTTCTGGGACAGATCAATATGTTTTAAAATTAAATTTATAGTATTAAATTCCGGTGACAAAAGACACAAATTTAATGCATTTTAAATCTCAAATTTAATTCGAAAAACTACATTTTTCATTTACTACCCCATATGTATAACGATTCAAATTACACAATAAAAATAAAGTATTACATTAATACTATGTATTTAATTAATTGCTTTCGTAGTAAACTTGACTTCCAAACACACTTCCAACAACACTATGAATCAACACACCCCAACAACCCACTCTTTGGTGCCCTCCCGCTTCCCCAAACAACAATAAAAAACCTCAATCACAATCACACAAACATACATACAACAAATAAACCACAATAATATAATGTTAATAAAGCATTTAATTATACAAAGAGTCGGCTTTACGAACTACTGATCTCCAAAAGCCAAGATAATGATCTCCAGTTATAATACTTTCAAACAAATATTTATGCACATAGTACAACAACAAATTCTGCATATCATGATTGAGTGCATTCACAACACAACAATGCAGGCTGGCTAATTAGAATACAACAATTTATAATAATGAAAACAACAAAAACCATAAGATCTTTCCTCACTTTACTCTTCACCCGTTCTTAGCTAACTTTATAACTCTGGGTAAAAAAAAATTCCCAATTTATTTCGTAAGATCTTTGTCGTGACAGTCGGTATTGTGCTGTGAAATAAAAGGAAGTTCTCGGAGTAGAAGAAAAAAATCCGAAATGTAAATTAACTAGTAAGTATGTGTATATAGAACGAAAGAAGGGGGAGTGTTGATTTCAATTGAAGAGAAAAAAAAACATGTTCAGGGCAAAGTGTTGTTTGCGGTTGTATTGTTAAAGTGTCATTTCAGTCAACTTGACTCATCTGCATGTGCCATGTCATTCTTTATAATTTAGTTTCATGATTGAAACTATTTAATTTTTGTTAGCGGTGTAGGAGAATTATGAAATGCACTATAAGCTAATATTTGAAAAAGTTATAAACATACTTTACGAAAAAGTGCTAATATTGGAAACAGGGATGGGAAATTGGGCAGAATAGATAGATAGATAGATAGATAGATAGATAGATAGATAGATAGATAGATAGATAGATAGATAGATAGATAGATAGATAGATAGATAGATAGATAGATAGATAGATAGATAGATATATAGATAGATAGATAGATAGATAGATAGATAGATAGATAGATAGATAGATAGATAGATAGATAGATAGATAGATAGATAGATAGATAGATAGATAGATAGATAGATAGATAGATAGATAGATAGATAGATAGATAGATAGATAGATAGATAGATAGATAGATAGATAGATAGATAGATAGATAGATAGATAGATAGATAGATAGATAGATAGATAGATAGATAGATAGATAGATAGATAGATAGATAGATAGATAGATAGATAGATAGATAGATAGATAGATAATAGATAGATAGATAGATAGATAGATAGATAGATAGATAGATAGATAGATAGATAGATAGATAGATAGATAGATAGATGTACAAAGACATCTTGGTTTATAAGTCTAGATCTTGGTTTATTCGGATGATTTTGGATTGGGATTCAAATTCAGATTCAGCTTTTCTAAATATCGAGTCCTAGCTTTTAAAAAATCTCTGTTTTTTGGTCATATTTTAGACGATTAATCAACGGAAAGAAATCATTGTTTGTAAAAATCTGTTATGTCATATAAAGTCTAACATGTCGACTTTACAGTAAAGGTTTAACCTCTGTTACATCTGATTCCTTCTTCCAGATATCTTTTCCAAAAGTTGTTTCAAGCTTCAGAAGAAGGAAGAAGATATAATAACGGATAAGCCTTTATTTAAAAGTCGACAGGTTTGACTGGATGACATAACATTTTTATAAACAATGACGTTTTAGCGCAGTTATAACGTCTCAAATATGGCCAAAACAGGTTTTTAATTATAGGAATTTGGAAACCCTGGTGTAGTCCATTTAAGAGTATACTTTGATCACTGATATTGTACTTTTTCCAAATTTTATTCTGCATTTATTAGCTACATTTTTATTAGCTACAATCGTAATGCAGAATACACATAATCGAAAAGCATTGAAAAGATATGGAATTGCTTCGTCTTTTTCTTATGATTCAGTTTTTTGTTGGAATACCTTTTTCGATCTTGGCGTATTCTGTTACGTAAACGTAATCGAAATACAGAATATAAGTGAATATTAACATTACAAAAGCCTTCGAGATCACATAGCATTTCAAACTCTCCTACGTTTCGAAATCACGACTTCAGTAACACATAATCTACTTGGATCCATTTGATTTTTCAAGATGTTTCGCTTAAGACACGGTTAATTCAGATACCAAGATTGAGAAATCACTAGAAATGGTTGGGATATAAAGAAACCGTAAATTTTGGCAGTTATAACGAATATTACGATTTTAGGCCAATAATAGACTTTGATCGGATCTAACATTGATGCCTCTTACATTCATAGTTTGATTGAAAGTGATATCTTTAGAGTGCTTCAACTTTGATGAATACGTTATGGTATCAAATTGGCCCAATAAAACTAAGTCGACATTTCTATATTGGCTTTAAGTAAATCTTTAACAAAGAGAAGCAAGCGATAAAAATCTCCACTTAAAGTCTTTTTAATTCTAGAATTTTTCTTAAAAGCCCACAGGCTTGACAGACACCAATATGACTGCTTTTTTGTTTTAATCACCGCCAGTAATTATTATTTGAATAAATTTTAATTTTTGTAGTTTAAAACTCTGTCAGCAAGCACCGCCAACAATTTCAGTTTTTGGTTTCTGTTTTCTTTTCTGTTTTTATTTATTTATTCAATTTAATTCCGTTCATTCAGTTGTTAGTTGGATTTCTTATGAATTAATTTGTGTTTTGCATGTTGTTATTTATTAAATTTTTTCATCTCAATTTTTTTATGAATGAAATTCATCATTCCGTTTTTATTTATTTCGGTTTTATGTTTTTTTTTTCTTTTTTTTTTTTTTTTTTTGGTTTAAGATAATTTGAGTGTGTGTTATAATTTGGATCATCATGCCGGTGTAGTATCGGAATAAAAGAATGAATGAATAAATGTGTGGATGTATGTACATATATTTGTCTTTTGGGGTATTTGGGTTGTTATGATTTTAATAGTTATCGGAAATAGTATTTAATGTCCGTTGTAGTTGTAGTAATGACATGTAAAGGAAGAGGTTTAGGTTTTTTTCTTGAATTTGACCTAAAGTCATCATTTTATTTGAATATATTAAAATTAATTTTGTAATGACCTGAATAATTTAAAAAAAGCGTAAAAAAACTTTAGTATAAAGGTATTACATATTTTAGGCAATTTTAACGGATTTTTAAATTAATTTTAGAATAATTTTAATACATATTCGACCAACATTAACGGATTGAGAGATATTTTTATAGGAACTGTAACATTGATCGAAATTGACTTATCAGTTTTACTTAGATGGAGGTTCAGAATCGTGAGTATTTAATGTTATTAGATAACTTTTGGCCATTAATGTTTTAAATGAACTTTCCAAGTCCCTCTCTTTGATCAAAACTGTTACAAGAAACTTGCCGGTAGTCAAAAAAGACGAAAAGATCGCGAGTGGTTAAATATCTTGAATAATTTCGGAGCTTGATAAAAAAAAAGCAATGCACAATGGCGCCTGAAACACTAAAAACCTTCTTTTACAAGTTCATGTTACAATTGAATTAAAACTTTTATGATCTTCTGCTTCTGTTTTTGTATGTCTAAGACATAAAAATCTTTATTAACAAATAAAAAATCTTGTCTTCCCACAATAAAACAAATAAACTTGTGGAGCTTCAAATAAAATCTTTTTCATTCTTCTATAAATTTTGTGGTTTTATAGATGTGCATTTAAAAGAAATATTTTTATTTATGTTTCTTTAATTTCTCTACAACTTTGTTAATTTATACATTGTTAAACTTCGCACAATTGTCTTTGGAAACTGACTGATATTTGGCACCATTGTGCGAATTTAAAAGATACATTTCTGATTTGAAAACTTATGGCATTTGTAATTAAAGAAAAATTACGCTATTATATTAATTTATGTACATTGTACATTTCAATATGAATTAAATTTGAAATCCGTTAAAATTTTTTTCTTTTCAAACAATAAGAAAATTTTGTGTATTACAAAAAAAAAAAAAAACAGTTGCAATGAAAAAGTCATAAAATATAAATTGATCATGTGGTATAAATGCAACTCAAAAACAATGGTAACAAAAACTTCATTGAAGTTGAAAGAACAAGTTGAATAATGAATATGCATAAGTAGATTTTAGTCGCAAAGAATGGGGCACATTCTACGTGCCACAAAGAGAGTCTTTCCTTTACAAAGTTGTTGGAAAACATTTTCTCGTAGATTTGTTTTTATATCTATAGGAATTTTATTTTAAACTTAAGATTTTGTTTAGGGTAATAAGTATGTAAAAGATAAAATCAACTTGATGTTTTATGACTAACAGTTAGGGGCAAAGAAATAGCGGTTATTTATATTTAGTAGTAACAGAATAAAATTCTCTAATAAATACTACAGCCCAAGGCA